TGGTATATGGTATAGTGCTCAACTTCAACAGAGAGATGGAACTAATTAAGAAAGGTTGAGAAACTCTACAGTATAGTGCTAGGAAGAGTCTTGATGATATGTGTAGAAAGGAAGCAGCATGCATGCTCCTTTTATAAGCAGAAATGGAGGGTGTGACCATGCAAGGTGCAAGTTGTCTTCTCTTGCAAATTTTCCAAAACAAGCAGAATTTTAATGATTTGTTTCATCAGGAACCACAGAATTGAGCAGGACCAAGAAGTTGAAGAGTAATGGGAGAATAAGTATCTTCAAAGGTTTAAACCTTCTTTCTGAATTAGGGTTGAGGACATTGCAGCTGCAGCTTTTGTAACATGATTTTATACGTGCACCAAAGTAAATTATGATAATTTTGCAATTACTCTAATTGTTGATGTGTCTCTTGTAATTGTGTATCACATGAGTATGTTACTATGACGTGCCCTCTTGTATTCTCCTAACATGCCACACCACAACATTCATTCCACCATTGATACTTGAAAGTTGGAGAAGAATATTGGAATTAGAATTTTGTTTTTTCTTGGAATGAAAAATGGAATAGTATGGTTGAATAAGTGAGCAAGAATATTATGTAGGACTTGAAAAACACAATAGAAGTTGTTACAATATAGATGAGCATTCTATTGAAATAAGTTTAACATTACTCAAACTAATATTGATTGGTGGAGCAATTGACATGATCAAACTTGTAGCATTAGTTAATGAGTAAATGTAAATTTCAGTTGTGATTGTATTTTAAGCGTGAAAGGAAGAAGTCACGAAGTATATGAAAAAAAAGAGATTTATTTAACACTTTACGTGATAAACTTTGACCAATAATTTGAAAATGAATAATATACTCAAATTAAGGGTACTTTTAATGTGTAATTTTCATCCAAAACCACTATAGTCCATTCTACATATGTCGCAAGGTAGCACGAATGAACTTCTATTTCTCTCGTACGTGTATTGTACTACTTTCGCCTTGCACATGAACAAAAGATATATAAAAAGTTGCACCATAAGATCCATCACTTAACTTCACTATAATAAGGAAGTGGAACTTGAATACAAGGTTTAAACTTAAGTTGTTTTTAGCCTAATTGATCACAAGTATACGCAACATTGGCAACCCTAGATATTCTATCTTGAAGAGAACACAAATGTGTAATCATGTTATTTTGAACATGACATCAAAAAAATAGAAAAGAGTAAGATTTGATTTGTAAACTTCTTTTTTATATGTTAGGAATTCAAAAATCAGTTTGAGTTTATAATTAAAATATAATTTTATAATGTCAAGAATTTAAGTTTTAATTTGAATCACATGTTAACTAGAAATAATAAAGTTAAATGATATATAAAGATGAAAACCCATAAACATGTCTTACGAGTTTAAATTAGAAACGATGTTGTAATATTTTATATGAATTGACTCATTATTTGCATCAAATTTTATCTAGATAATATACTTTAAAAAGTAAAACAAAAAAAAACTAAACTCAATATTTGTGTATGTATGTGCATGTTTGATTTGTTAACTTAAATGCTTTAATGCAAAACAATCTTCATGATCACATTGAAAACTTTTGGTCATGGTGTCAACGACAAAAGACAAAACAAGGTAAAGTTGAAAAATAAAAGAAGAATTAGAAAAATAAAATATGGCAACTTATTTTTATCTAATAATAAGTGATATTAAAAAGGTTACATCAATTGGGAATAATATTAAATTGTTCAAAAAAGAAGAAGATAGACATCTTGCTTCAATAAAGAGTTTTTATGATGATGATTGTGGAGAAGTGTTGAAGATTTAAAAGAATGTTTAAATTCAAAAGATGCATTAAAGAATTAAGAATTTAGTTGTTGAAGTCTTGTAATTTGTTTATATTATTTAAATTAATAGGTTAAGAGTTAAAAGACATAACTCAAGCAACAAAGCACTCAAGAAAGTTTTTATTTATCAGATAAACTTTTCACTCAAATGTTTAGAGTTATGACGGCTAGAAAAACTCTCTTTGTGAAAAGGGATTTTGAAAAACCTAGTGTGGATAGAATAAGAACTTTCACTGTGTGTCAAAGGAAGTGTTTTATTTCTTGTGTCTTCAAGATAAATGTTTTCTAATCTTAACTTTATTTTCTCTAACTGTGAGTTGTAGTTAATTTAAGTGATTTGTTAATCCCTATTAACAGTTGGACATGAAATAAGTATAAAATTAAATTTATTTTTCCTTGGACTTTTTATTGATCTTTTATTATCTTAAAGAAATCATTTTATAGTAAAGTCAGATTTTAGAAAGAGAAAAATTTTAAAAACACAATTTTATTAACAAACTAATTCAATTTTTGTTCATATGCGAATATTCTGCTACGTGATTCTAATATAAATTATAGTACATAAATGAGGTATAATTTTATTTTTGTAAAATTAAGTTAAATTTGGACTTAAAAAAGAGTTTTATAATCTTCAAATAGTCAAAATTATAGTAAAATTTCATTTCATTTCCTTTTCAAGTATTATTTGTACATAAATATAATCCATATTTGTAAATGGAGTAATTTGATAAACCATGTTTCATATTAATTATTTAATTACATAATATATTTTATTTAACTTAATTTAATGATTTGGTGGAGTGACATTATTATTAAGCAATCGAAAAATACTATTAAAAAAATATATCTAAAACTAATTAGAATTTATAGGTTTCAAGAAAAAGAAAAAATGAAAACCATCTATTTATAAGAAGAAATTTTTTTAAATTAGTTAATTTCTTTTTAAATTTTAAAAACATTGACTTTTGTTGTACCAAATTAAAAAAAATTCTAAAGATTTTAGTTGGAACCAACACATTAAATCGTACAAGTAGTGATTTTAATTGGAAAGTCTAAGACAATATCAGAAATTCTTATTTTGAAGTTTAACAAAAGTGTTTATCGAAATAACGTCCATAAAGAGAACTATCAAGGAGGGGTTCCTTGGGGAGATACAAACACTAATGACATATGAGCCCAACCATATAAGGGATTGACACTACTCTCTATCCAAAACCTTAAATAGTGAGTTAATATGTCTCTCATCTTTATATAGTGCTCTACTTTCTCATTTATATCCAATGTTGACTTAGACTCACACTTGGATTTCCAACACGTCTAATGTTTTAAATGTTATGTAAAAATAGTACTTCTTTGTTTGCTTTGTTGTTTCTCTTTTTTTTGTACAGATCATAAAGAACAAAGCTTTATTGCAAAGTTCTGCATTGATTCAGAAGAATGTTAGGATATAAGAAGACATTCTGGAAATGTTTTGTCATGTCATTTTGTCTGCCCAATCCGTACAAGCAGTTGTTTTTACAAAAGCAACATAGCATTTGACCTCATACAAAATGCTATACACCTATGACAAAGTCAATACTCTGAATAACAATTTTTTTTAAGCTGCATACCACGTCTAGCACTAAATTGTGAAAAAAATTTAAACTCTATTCAAACCCTTTCCCCCTCTTCTAGAATTTATATTTCATAATTATCTTTTCTTAAGGAATTTGTGTTTGGTTAATGTGTATTTAAGCTAACAATGTAAACATTATTCCATAAAAAATATGTAAATAGTGATAATTCTAAATATAAAACATTCAAATCTAATGAATTAAATTATAATTCTCTATCGGAGAAAGGTTCACCAAGATTAAATTTCACGAATTCAATTCAATGTAATGTGTGTATAACATAATTCAAGCATTCCCACTACAATCTTACTAGTTCTAATTTCTTGGAGAAAAGTTCTAAACCTTATTATAAAAATTCTAATTTATTAATTATTTCTATTCAATGTCATTAAGAAAATGTGTTTAGAATAACTAAGAGATAAATATTTACGCTTAAAATCAAACTGTTAAGTTGTTCAATAGTGAACTAAGTTTTAAAGCATTTTCTAACTTTTAGATACAACTAAAAACATAGATGATCAATCATGTATAGTTAAGCACAAAAAAATAACACAAGAAAGAAAAACTATATTAAGAAAAGATTCATTACATCCAATCACAATGAATAGAGAGTTAACTACTCTTAAACATGAGAANCTCACCCCAAATGTTCAGTCATTTTTCTTCAGCGCATGATTTCACCTTTTGTTGTTGTCATAATGGTTAATTATTCTGGTTTGTTTCCACATCAGAAAAGGAAATTTCGCTCATGTTTGATATATGGGAATACTTAATCATAGTGGAAGGCTCAAACAAAATGGTCAAAGACTGGTTCAGAATGTATTTTTCTTCACAGATAGTGTTAATGTTATGAAACAAGTCTTCTTAGATAGTTTATAATCAATAATCGCGTTTATGATATTGTTTATTTCATAGCCTTCTTAAAATAATTTTTAGTAGACTAAGAAAAGAAGTATATATATAAACTCCTTTCAACATCTAGTTCTGAACAATGTAGAACCTTTTAATTACCCAAAAAGAAAAACAGGTAACGAAATTTGATAATCTACTTTTTAAGCTCTTAACTACCATTTTAGTTTATATATTTAGTATGATATGATTTTTACTAGCTATAGCTATATAATTACGCGATTCAATATAAAAGATGTTTTGCTCTGACAACAGTGTACTCACGTACTAATAATTCGTGATATTGGCCTGATCAATGAACATTGGTTGAGAATAACTGAACTCAAAGGAATCTATATCAGAAGGTTAAGGGTAAGAAGACTAAATTAATACAACATTTTGATTATTTTGTGTTATTTGAGACTAGATAACAGACACATTTTGTCTTTGACAAACGATAAGAACATTAAATTGAAACTTTATTATGAATGGGAACTACGACAGAGTCATTTATTCTTCTAAACAGATTGAACTGAATGACAAGCATGGAATCATGGGATGCGATTCTTATGAAATAACAGTAATACTACTCGGCATTGGTGCTACATATCAGTATGCATGTAACACCACTAGGTACTACAATAAGGATTCTAGAAAACTTGGTGGGTGGTGAAAATCACAAATTATCTGTTGTTGATTCCTATTGTCTGGTCACTGGAGCTTCATGTTTTTCAGCCTGCAAGTAACAGTTTCAAGAATTAACCACAAAAATAGAGTTCATGAGGCAAGTTAGAAAGGAAATATTTGCAGGGTTGATAGATATATGATTAACTATTTCGACAGTAACTTTTTAACTTTTGGTAGAACCATGAACACAGAGACGAGCTTTAAGTGCATCTAAGGATATTGGATTTAAAGAGAATCAGAGATTGCGCTTGTTTAAGTAGCTGCATGTTTCTGGGAACACAAATATATACACTGAATTTAATTCTAAATGCATAAATGATGTTGGAAAATGTTGTACCTTTTCCCCTCTTCATCAGATTCAGCAGTTTTCTTGTAGTTTGGGAATGGAACTTGGCCTGATTCAATTTCAGTAATGTCTCTGAGGAGTAGCTCATAGTGCCTTTTCACTTCATCAGGAGTTTTCCCTCCAACAGCAAGGGCAACATTGTTCCATCGGTCAGGGGTGTCCTTGTCATAAACAGCTAGAGCCCTTTCAAAGGCCTTGTTGTCCTTAGCACTCCATGAACCTGTAGCTGACATTGAGCTTGATGCCATTTCTGATAGTTAGTTAAGGTAACTAGATATATATAGAGTATTGCCTAAGGTTTCAAATCTAGTGAACTACTGGTATATGGTATAGTGCTCAACTTCAACAGAGAGATGGAACTAATTAAGAAAGGTTGAGAAACTCTACAGTATAGTGCTAGGAAGAGTCTTGATGATATGTGTAGAAAGGAAGCAGCATGCATGCTCCTTTTATAAGCAGAAATGGAGGGTGTGACCATGCAAGGTGCAAGTTGTCTTCTCTTGCAAATTTTCCAAAACAAGCAGAATTTTAATGATTTGTTTCATCAGGAACCACAGAATTGAGCAGGACCAAGAAGTTGAAGAGTAATGGGAGAATAAGTATCTTCAAAGGTTTAAACCTTCTTTCTGAATTAGGGTTGAGGACATTGCAGCTGCAGCTTTTGTAACATGATTTTATACGTGCACCAAAGTAAATTATGATAATTTTGCAATTACTCTAATTGTTGATGTGTCTCTTGTAATTGTGTATCACATGAGTATGTTACTATGACGTGCCCTCTTGTATTCTCCTAACATGCCACACCACAACATTCATTCCACCATTGATACTTGAAAGTTGGAGAAGAATATTGGAATTAGAATTTTGTTTTTTCTTGGAATGAAAAATGGAATAGTATGGTTGAATAAGTGAGCAAGAATATTATGTAGGACTTGAAAAACACAATAGAAGTTGTTACAATATAGATGAGCATTCTATTGAAATAAGTTTAACATTACTCAAACTAATATTGATTGGTGGAGCAATTGACATGATCAAACTTGTAGCATTAGTTAATGAGTAAATGTAAATTTCAGTTGTGATTGTATTTTAAGCGTGAAAGGAAGAAGTCACGAAGTATATGAAAAAAAAGAGATTTATTTAACACTTTACGTGATAAACTTTGACCAATAATTTGAAAATGAATAATATACTCAAATTAAGGGTACTTTTAATGTGTAATTTTCATCCAAAACCACTATAGTCCATTCTACATATGTCGCAAGGTAGCACGAATGAACTTCTATTTCTCTCGTACGTGTATTGTACTACTTTCGCCTTGCACATGAACAAAAGATATATAAAAAGTTGCACCATAAGATCCATCACTTAACTTCACTATAATAAGGAAGTGGAACTTGAATACAAGGTTTAAACTTAAGTTGTTTTTAGCCTAATTGATCACAAGTATACGCAACATTGGCAACCCTAGATATTCTATCTTGAAGAGAACACAAATGTGTTATCATGTTATTTTGAACATGACATCAAATAAATAGAAAAGAGTAAGATTTGATTTGTAAACTTCTTTTTTATATGTTAGGAATTCAAAAATCAGTTTGAGTTTATAATTAAAATATAATTTTATAATGTCAAGAATTTAAGTTTTAATTTGAATCACATATTAACTAGAAATAATAAAGTTAAATGATATATAAAGATGAAAACCCACGTTTACAAGTTTAAATTAGAAACGATACTGTAATCTTGTATATGAATTGACTCATTATTTGCATCAAATTTTATCTAGATAATATACTTTAAAAAGTAAAACAAAAAAAAAAACTAAACTCAATGTGCAAATGTATTTGTGTATGTATGTGTATGTTTGATTTGTTAACTTAAATGCTTTAATGCAAAACAATCTTCATGATCACATTGAAAACTTTTGGTCAAGGTGTCAATGGCAAAAGACAAAACAAGGTAAAGTTGAAAAATAAAAGAAAAATTAGAAAAATAAAATATGGCAACTTATTTTTATCTAATAATAAGTGATATTGAAAATCTTACATCAATTGGGAATAATATTAAATTGTTCACAAAAGAAGAAGATAGACATCTTGCTTCAATAAAGAGTTTTTATGATGATGATTATGGAGAAGTGTTGAAGATTTAAAGAATGTTTAAATTCAAAAGATACATGAATTAAAAATTTAGTTGTTGAAGTCTTGTAATTTGTTTATATTATTTAAATTAATAGGTTAAGAGTTAAAAGACATAACCCAAGCAAGAGAGCACTCAAGAAAGTTTTTATTTATCATAAAAACTTTTCACTCAAATGTTTAGAGCTATGACGGCTAGAAAAACTCTCTTTGTGAAAAGGGATTTTGAAAAACTTAGTGTAGATAGAACAAGAACTTTCACTAAGTGTGTCTTAAGTAATTGAGTACTATTGTTGTTATTAGGAAAGTTGTTTATCTTTTGTGTGTCAAAGGTAGTGTTTTATTTCTTGTGTCTTCAAGATAAGTATTTTCTAATCTTAACTTTATTCTCTCTAATTGTGAGTTGTAGTTAATTTGAGTGCTTTGTTAATCCCTATTAACATTTGGACATGAAATAAGTATAAAATTAAATTTATTTTTCCTTAAATTGATCTTTTATTATCTTAAAGAAATCATTTTTACAGTAAAGTCAGATTTTAGAAAGAGAAAAATTTTAAAAACACAATTTTATTAACAAACTAATTCAATTTTTGTTCATACGTGAATATTCTACTATGTGATTCTAATATAAATTAAAGTACATAAATGAGGTATAATTTTATTTTTGTAAAGTTAAGTTAAATTTGGACTTAAAAAAAAGAGTTTTATAATCTTCAAATAGTCAAAATTCTAGTAAAATTTCATTTCATTTCCTTTTCAAGTATAATTTGTACATAAATATAATCCATATTTGTAAATGGAGTAATTTGATAAACCATGTTTCATATTAATTATTTAATTACATAATATATTTTATTTAACTTAATTTAATGATTTGGTGGAGTGACATTATTATTAAGCAATCGAAAAATACTATTAAAAAAATATATCTAAAACTAATTAGAATTTATAGGTTAAAGCAAAAGAAAAAATGAAAACCATCTATTTATAAGAACAAATTTTTTTAAATTAGTTAATTTCTTTTTTAATTTTAAAAACATTGACTTCTGTTGTACCAAATTAAAAAAACATTCTAAAGATTTTAGTTGGAACCAACACATTAAATCGTAAGTAGTGATTTTAATTGGAAAGTCTAAGACAATATCAGAAATTCTTATTTTGAAGTTTAACAAAAGTGTTTATCAAAATAACGTCCATAAAGAGAACTATCAAGGAGGGGTTCCTTGGGAAGATACAAACACTAATGACATATGAGCACAATCATATAAATGATTGACACCACTCTCTACTCAAGTAATGAGTTAATGTGTCTCTCATCTTTATATAATACTCTACTTTCTCATTTATATCCAATGTTGGACTTAGACTCACACTTGGATTTCCAACACGTCTAACGTTTTAAATGTTATATAAAAATAATACTTCATCATAAAGAACAAAGCTTAATTCCAAAGTTCTGCATTGATTCAGAAGAATGTTAAGATATAAGAAGACATTCTGGAAATGTTTTCTCGTGTCTTTTTGTCTGCCCAATCCGTACAAGCAATTGTTTTTGCAAAAGCAACATAGCATTTGACCTCCTACAAAAGGCTATACACCTATGACAAAGTCAATACCTCTGAATAACAATTTTTTTTAAGCTGCATACAACGTCTAGCACTAAATTATGAAAAAAAAAATTAAACTTTATTCAAATCCCTTCCCCCTCTTCTAGAATTTACATTTCATAATTATCTTTTCTTAAGGAATTTGTGTTTGGTTAATGTGTATTTAAGCTAAAAATGTAAACACTATTCCATAAAAAATCTATTAGTGATAATTCTAAATATAAAAACATTCAAATATAATGAATTAAATTATAATACTCTATCGGAGAAAGGGTCACCAAAATTAAATTTCATGAATTCAATTCAATGTAATGCGTGTATAACATAACTCAAGCATTCCCACTACAATCTTACTAGTTGTAATTTGTTGGAGAAAAGTTCTAAACCTTATTATAAAAATTCTAATTTATTAATTATTTCTACTCAATGTCATTAATGTGTTTAGAATAACTAAGAGATAAAAATTTACGTTTAAAATCAAACTGTTAAGTTGTTCAATAGTGAACTAAGTTTTAAAGCATTTTCTAACTTTTAGATACAACTAAAAACATAGATGATGAATCATGTATAGTTAAGCACAAAAAAATAACACAAGAAAGAAAAACTATATTAAGAAAAGATTCATTACATCCAATCACAATGAATAGAGAGTTAACTACTCTTAAACATGAGAAACACAAAAAATGGCAAGAAAGAGTATGAGATTGAAATATGAAATAGTTATGGAGGTCCTCCTCAAATATTTGTCTTTCTCTTTGTCTTTGGTTCAATTTTGCCCTTATTCAGTTCCAAAAAAAACTCATCTTTTTCATTCAAAAATTGACTTTTTTAAATAACTCACAAAAAAGTAGCTTATATCCTTGGACAAACTTATTCTCTATTCTCTCGTTGAACGATAAATTACCTTTTATCAAAACATACCTTCTTTAATAGTTGAACAAAAGAGCTTGTCTTGGGTAAGTTCAGGATGTATTGAGTGAATATAAAGTTTTTCTCATTAGATGAGGAAGTTGTTTACTTAAGTAAAATAATCTCAAAAAGACTTATTCTCCTGATCTTCAAACTTCCACTCATCTACAAAAATTGATAAAAAGGTAGTTACTTCTTTGAAAGAAAATGTTTAAATTCTAAATATTTTCATAAAAAGAACAAAAATTCATGACATAAAGAAAATTAAAAAATCCAATAAACATGAAAAATAAGTTATTATGACTCTTATCAAAATGTCAATTTAAAAGATTTTCTAAAAATCAAGTTTTGAAAAAATTGATTGAATTCTTTTTTCACAACTACACCTTTTGAATCTTTGTAAAACAATGTAAAATCCTATGAAAAAAAAAGACATATACGGTGTTTTCTTGTAGTAGTAGGTTGCCCCCTATGATCAAGTAGGTGTGATGCCTAACTTTATTTTATTCTCATTCTTGCAGGATCTTCAATGGGAAAAAGTTGGAGCAAGTGAGAAGCAAAAGTGTCATTTATTACATTACATGCAACAACAATATCTTCCTTATAACAACGTTGCTTAGGTTCAGATCTTGTACTTTGTCCTCCACACTCTCCAACATTCTCTAGATGCCCACTTTTGTCCGTACAAAGATTCTTTCTTCTCACCTTCTTTGCATACTCAATTCTCATTAGATTATGGAAAATGATGGCCACTTTAATATTTAATTATCAACTTTTTA